TGAAAACTTGCTCAAAGCAAAATGTTTTCATTACGGAAATAAATTATAAACCTACCGATTTAATACTTTTTTAATCCAGGTACTTTTCAAGAACAGGCGCCGAAAACCTCCACCTAAACATCATGTTAGGTTCAGGTCCATGGGTGTTCCACAGTTAGCTCCGGTAGGGTTGAAGCTAGGTGGCTACATCCGTTAGCTCGGCTCCCACCTCGGCGTTAGCCAGGGTTAGCTCGTAGGTAGTTTGCCCGGGTGTCGTCACTCGATCCCAGCCTTACAGCCCCACCCTCAGCTCCTCCTCTCTTCCTTTTATGGAATTGTCTGGGCTGGATGGAACCTGTGACACGGTCAAAATGGCGGTGGTGGCCACCTCCCATTATAGACAAAAAACGTGTTATTGGAGCCTATGGAATCGTTTTGTCCAGTATGTACAGTCTATGGTTTGAACATAAGGATGCCCATCGGTACACTTTGTACCAGGGCAGCCTAGGTCGCAGGTCGATGATAGACTTTGTAGTCGTATCTTCTGACCTGCGGCCGTATGTTTTGGACACCAGAGTGAAGAGAGGAGTGGAGCTGTCAACTGATCACCACCTGGTGGTGACTTGGATCAAATTGCAGGGGAAGATGCCGCGTAGACCTGGCAGACCCAAATGCATAGTGAGGGTCTGCTGGGAACGCCTGGCAGAAGAACCTGTCAAGACGGTCTTCAACTCCCACCTCCGGCAGAGCTTTGACGGCGTCCCGAGAGAAGTGGGGGACATCGACTCCGAGTGGGCCTTATTCCACTCTGCGATTGTTGAGGCGGCTGTTGCTAGCTGTGGTTGCAAGGTGGCTGGTGCCAGTCGTGGTGGCAACCCCCGTACTCGCTGGTGGACACCAGAGGTTCGAGGAGTCGTCAGGCTGAAGAAGGAGGCCTACAGGGCATGGCTGGTCTGTGGGTCTCCAAAGTCAGCAGACGGGTACCGGATAGCCAAGCGGGGTGCAGCAGTGGCAGTTGCTGAGGCAAAATCTGAGGCGTGGGAGGAGTTTGGTGAGGCCATGGAGAAAAGACTATAGATCGGCGCCAAAGAGGTTCTGGCAAACTGTCCGGCGCCTCAGGAGAGGGAGGCAGCAACTCGCTCACACTGTTTACATTGGGGATGGGGAGCTGCTGATGTCAAATGGGTCTATAGTCGGGCGGTGGAAGGAATACATTGAGGAACTCCTCAATCCCACCTGCGTGCATTCCGAGGAGGAGCCAGAGCCAGGAGACCTGGGGATGGACTGTCCAATCTCTGGGGCAGAAGTTGCTGAGGTAGTCAAAACAACTACCCAGCGGCAGAGCCCCGGGGGTGGACAAGATTCGTCCTGGGTATCTCAAGGCTATGGATGTGGTAGGGTTGTCGTGGTTGACACGTCTCTGCAACATTGCGTGGTCATCGGGGGCAGTTCTTGTGGAGTGGCAGACCGTGGTGGTGGTCCCCATCTTTAAGAAGGGTGACCTGAGGGTGTGTTCCAAATACAGGGGGATCACACTCCTCAGCCTCCCTGGAAAGGTCTACTCCAAGGTACTGGAGAGGAGGGTCAGATCGATAGTTGAATCTCAGATTAAGGTGGAGCAATGTGGTTTTCATCCTGGCCGTGGAACTGTGGACCAGCTCTATCCCTTTCAAGGGTGATGGAGAGGGCATGGGAGTTTGCCCAACCAATCCACATGTGTTTTGTGGATTTGGAGAAGGCTTATGACCGTGTCCCCAGGGGCATCCTGTGGGGGACGCTCCAGGAGTATGGGGTGGGTGGCCTTTTGTTAAGGGCCATTCAGTCCCTTTACCAGAGGAGCGTGAGTTTGGTCCGCATAGACGGTAGTAAGTCGGATCTCTTCCCGGTGAGGGTTGGACTCCACCAGGGTTGCTCTTTGTCACTGGATCTGTTCATTATCTTTATGGACAGTTTCTAGGTGCAGCCGTGGTGTGGAGTGTGTCGAGTTTGGTGGCAGGAGAATCTTGTCTCTGCTTTTTGCGGATGATGTGGTCCTCCTAACTTCATCCAGCTCTGACAGAGTGTGAAGCGGCTGGGATGAGGATCAGCACCTCCGAATCGGAGACAATGCTTCTCGACCGGGAAAGGGTGGCTTGCCAACTCTGGGTCGGGGGAGAGGTCCTACCTCAAGTGAAGGAGTTTAAGTATCCCGGGGTCTTGTTCACGAGTGAGGGTAGGAGGGATCGGGAGATTGACAGGCGGATTGGTTTGGCATCTGCAGTAATGCGGACGCTGAGCCGATCTGTCGTGGTGAAGAGGGAGCTGGGTCAGAAAGCCAGGCTCTCGATTTATCGGTCAATCTACCTCCCAATCCTCACCTATGGTCATGAGTTTTGGGTAATGACCGAAAGAACGAGATCGCGGATACAAGCGGCCGAAATGAGTTTCCCCCATAGGGTGGCCGGGCTCAGCCTTAGAGATAGGGTTGAGGAGCTCGGACATTCGGGAGGGACTCGGAGTAGGACCGCTGCTCCTCTCGATCGAAAGGAGTCAGTTGAGGTGGTTTGGGCATCTGGTCAGGATAACTCCTGGACGCCTCCCTGGGGAGGTGTTTCAGCCATCTCTTGCCGGCAGGAGGTCCCCGGTTCGACCTAGGACACGTTGGAGAGGTTACATCTCCAATCTGGTCCGGGAACGCCTTGGGGTCCTGCCGGAAGAGCTGCTGGAGGTGGCTGGGGAGAGGATGGTCTGGAGCTCCCAATTTGGAATGCTGCCCCCGAGACCTGGATAAGCGGAGGAAGACGACGCAAAAATTCTACAATTTATAGCAGTTCCTGTAAAGAGATTGGGAAGGGTTAGCAAAACCATATAATATACAGAAAACATCAGTTGAGTTATTGAAACATCAGATGAATTTAATTTAAAGCTTCAAGTTGCTGACGCGTCTTTCTGTGAATAAGGAAATATGAAGGTGTAATATTAATTTATGCAGCTCTAGCTATGGCAGAAGCTGAGGCAAATCAAGCGTTCTTCATCAAAGGACTTGTCTGTGAACTGAGAGTCCCGGTTTAAGAATAGTTTGGAAGGACAGAGCCCTCTTCTGTTGATCAGGAAGGTTTCAGTCTTAAGTTGAGGAATACCTTGAAGTCCAGGGACCTCATTTGTCAAGCTTGCTTACGCACAAAACGGGGTCGGAAAACTGCATAAGCAACTTTCCACCGAAACTTTGGGATTTATGAAAGAAAACGTAGCGGAAAAATGTGTGCAACTTTAAGTTGACTAAGGATCTGGCTTACGCACATGTTGGACATGGAGAGCACCTGCAGTGCTGCTACTGAGAAGGATAACATTATGAAATCCTGCAGCATTATCACTTGTACTGCTTCGTTTTCACAAAGAACAAGACCCCCCCTCCCCCACACACACACGCGCACACACACACACACACACACACACACACACACACATACACACACACACAGCCTGAAGCGCAGAATACGGAATGCAGAATATCAGCAGGGGGCAGATGGAGACAGAATGTAATGCATCTGTGACAGTGTGTGTCCTGTCACTGTGGCCTGATTGATCATGCGCTCCTGGCGACTTGTACAGGGGAGATCTCCGTTTGGGTGACTGGTTAGCACGCGTGACATTTTCATGGGAGTCTTGGGATCAAATCCTGATTGGACCATTTTTTTATATCCGCCACAGATTTCTTTGAGGAACTCACAGCATTGACGGTTTCAGCAACGTTGTGCCACTCCGTGGATTTTCTCTTGTTTTGCAAAAGCACTTTCATTTCTCCACCTCACCCACAAGTACCTGAAGTTCTGCTTCTGTGAAATTGCGCTTCCTTCCTCTAGATGCAGAAAAGGCTTTTGATAGAGTTAACTGGAAGTTCTTATTTGCAACTTTACATAAATTTGGTTTTGGGAACTTCTTCATAAACTGGCTACAAACATTATACAGTTCGCCAACTGCACGTGTCAGGACGATTGACCAAATATCAGCTAGCTTCTGTCTTCAGAGGGGGAAAAGGCAGGGATGCCCACTCTCCCCCTCACTATTTGCTATCTTTATTGAACCACTAGCAGCAGCAATTAGGCAAACAACAGATATTAAAGGGATAAAGTGTAAGAAAATAGAACATAAGATCAGTCTTTATGCAGATCATGTTTTACTCTTTCTCCAGAATTCTCAAGCGTCTCTCTGTCATTCAATAGAACTGATAAACTCTTTTTCAAAAGTTTCAGATTACTCTATAAACTGGTTAAAATCCACAGTTCTACCAATTAATTTCTCTTTTGTCAATTTACTTAATACACAATTGGAGTCAGGGAATATCACATACCTGGGAAATAATGCCTCTCCCAAGTTAGCAGATCTAACCATGTCGCGAGCACGTCCCATTTGTCGGTTCCGTTAAAACCCATTTCCGTTAGAACTTATAAGACTGTGCTACTTTCTCAGGGTTCGTGGGGATGTCTGTGAGTTTTATTGTATTAGACCCTGGTTTGGACTCCCTAATTAGAATCAGTCTTCTATTTTAAGGTAAAATGATATGCAGTACTCGTTTCTTTGTGATAGCACACTTCCTTTTTAATTAATCCTGTTATCTATTGGTTTAGATACTAGGGCGAGCCCAGCGGGTGGCCGTCCTTCGCTGGCAATTCTTTGGGTTATTAGGATTAATTGCGTCCCTGTCAGCTTATGTGGGCGGTTGGTAACTATAAAATGATTCTTGTTAGTTGATAAAGGCTAACATAGATTTATCAATTTATCTAATTAATCCAACCTCCCAGCGCTGGCGGAGACTTTTTCACACTTGCAATCAGAGCCATAATTAACCTACTAATGTTTTGGTTTTATCATCCTTAAAGGCACAGTCTGCAACATTTAAATGTAGAATAACTTTAAAAATGTTTGATTTTGACCATCTGACCCAATTTTATTAAAAAAAAGTAAATAATCTTTAATATTTCAATTTTCTCCTAAGTCCCTCTTCTGCCCTGTAGAGCTAAGCCAATATTTCTGCAAGCCTAACGCGTTGACCAATAGCGCTGCGTTTCCACCAGGGGGCAGCTGTCAATCATCGAGCACGAGCAGGTCTCAGCGTGCACAACAGTGTCACGCGCCTCACTCGGCTTACTGCAGAAACATGGAGCAACAAAACCCCAAATTACTGATTCCTCGACTGCCTTCCACATCTCAAAAAACATTTAAAAAGTTTAAAAGCCCTTCTTCAAAAGTGGCTGTAAGACGTTTGAGACAGTTGAGTAGAATTAACATTGGAGATTGTTTTACACACGATGGAGAGATTTTCGTGATCTACACAGCCTGAAAACGGATGAAGAGTTGGCAAAGTATCTTTTAGACAGGTAAGTTATTTATTGTTTTTCGGATACATGTACTTATAATCTTTATTTCACTGAAAGAAGTAATAGAGCAAACCAGCTTTGTATGCTTGGTGTCCTATTGGCTAATGTAGCATTAGCTTGAATGCTAAGTCGACATGAATCGATGCTAGTCAAACTATTTATGCTATATTTGGAAGAAGTTTGAGTAACGAAAGGGGATTTTAGCTAATGATTAGTGTGGCGTTTAACTATAGGCCACATCAGTATATTGTTTTAAGCTCTTGTTTATAACTTCCCTGTTAGCGGGGTTCAGTTAGCATATTGAAAGCTGAATTAGGTGTTTACACTTTCCTGAGCTGCGTGTTTGATTAAAATGAGTAATCAGCAGCTCATGTAGTACTTGTAGAAGTCTGAGGAGACGATTCAGCAGTTAGAATTAGGTGTGATTGATCAGGAACCTATCAGAAACCTTACGTTTCCATTAGCACTGAAAGACATATTGTGCTAACCTGGGTGGGCCACGTGTACAGATTACCGTCTGAGTTTGTGGTCTTACCTACGTGAAAACTCCATATTAAAATAAAAGGAATGATAATCAGCTCGTGCAAAAATCTGTGAAGGCTGGGGAGACTTGTTTAGCTTGTGATCACTAATTTTTGGGCTTTGTTTTTTTATAGTCATCAGTCCAAATATGAAGCATCAACATCTACACCATTGAAGCGCCAACTGTGTATTTCTCCAACACCAGTGCCAGCTCTGTCTAGCATTCATGGAGAATCATCTGAAAGGTAAATAGCTGCATAAAAACCTCTACCAGGAATATTATAATTTTGCCTCTGTTTGTTTTAAGTTAGTGGTGGATTATTTTGAAAAAATTCTAGAAATTGGATAATGAATGACTATAAAAAATGTATAGAAATAAATAGTAAAACTACATTTTATATAGCGCCTCTCAAGATAAAACTCTTGAGGCACTTCACAACAACAAAATTAAACATATTTTAAAAAATTATATTTTTATTTCAAAGTTTATGAGAAAAAAATAACACAATTGTGTTTTTAAAATGTAAAGAGAGACAGGAAATTATTTGTAAAGAAGGAATTCAGTGGATACAGAGAAATGCGTAATTAGTAGAGTGAGAAAAATAAGGAGAGGGTGATGATGACGGCCAATAGACGAGGTCTATTACCTTCAAAATGACAAATAATGTATTGATTCTAATCATATTCTTGTGCTTGTATTTTATTTTCATAGGGATGATAATTTGGAGGAGGTGATGGAACAAGGTGAAACTAAAAAAGAAGGATCTTCACAAATGTAAGTACAAGGTTGTATTTGTATTTGGCTGTCACATTTGTCAGGAAAAGTAAACAATAAATACTTTTTTAGGTTGTCTTGTGTGGAAATTGAAGCAAACATTGACGAGGAAGAGTTCAACAATATTCCAATCTCTGTGTAAGTATTCAGATGTTAATAAAATGTGTCTAATTTTCCATACTAAAAACTTTATATTGTGTATATTCAGGATAGAGTCATCAGATGACACATGGTCACCAAACAGAGAACCAGAAGTTGATTCGTCTTCAGAGGAGGACGAAACCATCTAGATGGACAGCGGTACTGATGACAGCGGTGATGAGGACTACACACCTTATATACACATAAGGTAATTCCTTTTGTTTAACATTCTATAAAACTGCAATAGCGCATAGTTAATAAAAAGCTTTGTTCACAGGACTGGAGCAGCATTACAAAAAACATTACAACTTGAGACTCTGCAAGAAATTAACATAGAGGATACAGTTCATGACTGTAATATCCCAGAAGCAACTGACCGACGTTTGACAAGCAAGAAAGGTCTTCCTCGACGCTACAAGCTAAGGCCTGAGGATCCAAGGCGTTATGGTTTGCTGTCCGGAGTTCCTGCACCATCAACAGAGGAACTTCTACAACACCTACGGACTTGCGGTGATGGTAAAATAAAACATTATCCGCCTTACATCTTCCACACAATGGCCCATTGCTAATTGAGTTTATTTTTTATTTACAGGTAAAACTTTGCCACAGACATAGGTGTTGGGGGAGGCAAGAGAAAACCCAAAACCTTCTTTATTTTTGTTTCCTGTGTTTTTTTTTGTTTGTTTTTTTGAAAATAAAGATATATTTTGGGGAAATAAGGACTAATAATTTAAAAATGTATGTAAAATGTTGGAGGTAGACATAATTTTTTGTTGTTGTGCAGGAGTTTTAAAATTTATGGTATTTTTACAAATGCAACACAGAGTTATGCTTTAGAACACTTTATTTGAGCATCAAACAAAAATATCTAAAAACAAACTTATGTAAAATATCAAATATATACATTTATTTACAATCGTCTTGGAATAAAACCAGTGTAGTTACCATTGGGGTCAGGGAATTTTGCAGAATAAATCCTCCATGTGTGGTACAGTTGAAATACATGTCTGGGGAGGCTGTTGGCAGCATTTCTTTTCCAAATCAGTTGGCATATCTCTGCAGTGGGAGCATACACACCATGAAGGTTGATTGGGTGTTGGATGTGTTGTGGCAGGTGGACCAGAGAGGGCAAGTACATCAAAGAGAACACCAGTGTCTGTCCAGCACCATGGTAAGGATGTCAATAGCCTGCTGAGGGTTCAGGTTCTGTATGTGTTGCTACAAAAGTGGAAAGAGATGCTACAGCAACAGTTATGCTTACACGTTCAAAGTCTATTCGCTCGGAACAAAGATTCCGAACTCGAGAGAGATCATCTCCAAGGTCCACAGCTGAGTGTCTCACACTTCTTTGGCCTCTGGATGCACCGCGGCCTCTAGACACACCACGGCCTCTGGATGCACCACGGCTTTGAGATGATGGTGGGCATCTCCTTTTTGCACCACGTCTTGAGGATGCAATAGGAGGTTCAAACTCTTCCTCAGAGGATTCCTCAATCACTGAACTCTAAATTGTATTAGAATAAAAAAAAATTATACTAATATAAAAAGTACTCTTGCATATTAATCAATTTTGACACAGATCAGGTTTACATCTAGTCAAAATTTGGGCTAAACCAACAATAAACAGAAACCCTATGAAAACAACCATGATTATAGGAGGACTACACAGAATGCAGTGTTTATTCATGATTTCCACATAAATTATTTATATGCTTTGATATATTCATCCCATCTTGAATGGCAAAGCAATTAAAAATAAGCTAGTTACTTGTAATAAAATGCTAAAAATTTGATAGGATTAATTTTATTTACAATATAGATTGTCAACTGTTACTGGTATTTTAAAATATAAATATATTTATAGATATTCTTTATAAAATGCCTTTTGTAAACAGTAAGTGTTTAATGTGCTGGTTAAATACAACTTTCTTACCTCAGATAACTCCATTGCTTACACTAGCTCAGCTCTATTACAAGAAGCAATGCTCCGATGTTGACTCTGCTTTTCCTGCGCGTGCACATTGGGAGGTGTGGCTTTCGGCTCTTTCAGGAAGGGCGGGGGAGTGAGCAACAGCCGTTCGAATTTAAAAATCTCCTCCTCACCCTGACAGCGTCATCCTGCGGACTGTGCCTTTAAGACATCTCGTTACTCGCGGGAGAGGAGTCAAGCTCCTTTATCTTAAGGTTTCTTTTATTAATCTGTCACAAACCGTAAAGTAAATCCTGATAATTCAGGAACCTATAATTAATGTGCTTACCTCTCCTTAAGAAAGGTCAGGGCTCCAATCTTAAGCTTTAAAAAGAACCTGAAAGAATCAGGAGTGTGGATCTTTTTCCAAAAAATTTATTACAAGATCAAAAATACTAAAATGAGTAAATATAAAACTAACCACTTCCCCCAAGGAGAAATTAGTCCTAATGATTAATTAAGAATAATGAGTTGGCTTACACCAACTTGGTCTTCAAGATCTACTGTGTCTGTCGGCTGCCCCAAAAAACTCCTCCAAAAACTGACCTGTCGTCCTCCGTCCCCCGTCCAGAGGACGGAGGATGACCTCTCCAAATCTGCTCTGTCTCTGCTGTCCGTCTGCCCCAACTGATCTGTCTGTTCTGCTTCTAGCTGCTCCTTTTATACTCTTCTTGGGTCAGCTTAGACAAGGTAAAATCATTATCTCATGACAGTAAGGTCATGGGGTGATTTACCAGTTACACACCTTTTAGCTCAACACAAGATATTTGGTATCATTTTTGGTACATGCAGGATTCTTCATGAAGGCTTTTTTAGCTTAACACCAGAGGCGGATTTAGCAATTTTATGGGCCCAAGGCGAACACAGACATGGGGCCCCTTACACAAAATTTTCAACAATCTTACCTTTAACTGGATTTGCGAAACCCTCCCCTCTTCTGACATGAGTTATTTTCCCTTTTTATTAGTCATCCTCTTTTTTTCATGTATTTCCCTCCTTTTGAGCGCTTTCAATATTTGCTCTGCTTTCTTTTTCCTGTCAGTGCTCCTGTGCTTTTGCCTTTATTTTTTTTTTCTATTTTCCATTTTGGTCTATGTTTTCTTCCCTTTAAACATTTCCATTGTCTTTCCTTTCTGCTTCCTTTTGATGTTTACATCGAGAAACGACGTCACTTTCAGAAGTGAAGATAAAAGCTTTTATGAAGCAAGCAGCTTCTTTCTCTTATTGGAGCCACCAGGATAACTCCATGTCATGCTTAATCGTTTGACTATCGCTTTGAGTTTGTTACAAACGCTCCCACCTGTCTTCTTCTTGTTTGTGGTCTTACGGCACTTGGCAAACAACCATTTGGTGCATTACCGCCACCAACTGGATTGGAGTGGAATGACTACTAATCACTTCCTGTTTGTGCATCGCCATCTTAATAACCCTCTTATGACCATAATTATAACAGGGCTGCCTGGTATTTCTTTTTAATCTTATGGCTGTGTAACGTGAGGAAATATGGGTTTTTCTGTCACAAAGGTGGTGCTGGACTCAGCCGGGTCAAAGCTGGGTCATTGAGAACTTTCACCCACAGATTAAGACCTGAACGCCAGAGAGTCTGGGAGGAAACCATAACATCTACCACCTGCAGCTTCGTGCCAGAAGATGTTGTTCCCACAGAAGATGTTGTTCCCATAAAAGAAGTCATAACATAACAAGTCTTAAAACTTTGTTTCTTGATTTTAATGTTAAAGTAACCATTATCAATTTGCTCATTATAAATGTGTTTTAATCAAATGAATGACTATTATGCTTTGGGGTAATTCTAAGAGATTTAATGAATCCATAATTAGATAATGTTGAGAGTGTTTGTTGCTGACCTTCACACACACTCAAGCACACACACCCACACACATCTGCTCACAGTAAACTCCAAAACACATTTGCTGACGCACACGTTTGCTTTGAGAAGAGAAAGGTTTTTGGTAAGTTTCAGTCTTATGATTTCAGTTCGTGTTGGACAACGAAAGAGAGTGGACCTGAAAACCAAAGGGGGGGCAGAGCCGGTTGGCTCGTTCTTCCCCCCTTTCACGCTGTTCCTGCCAAGCCAGGCAGAATAGCTGAATCGCAACTTCTAACGCAGACTCATTACCGAGTCTTTTGATTTCTGAGTGAACTTAACTTAATAAAGCGCATCGACAAAACGCTTTACCATCAACGTGTACCGAGGGCAACTCTGGACCGGTTCGCGGCGCATCTTTGTCTTCTTTGCCAGCCAAGGTGCCCTGGATGAAACATCCTAAGGTGACGTCCCGGGTCCAACAGAGGGTCCGATTTTCGGTGAGGCAAAACACGACAGATAGCGTTTTGATGCATCTTTTCCAACTAAACCTAAGTTTATTCAAACCATCACTTTTCACTCAGACACCTGTTTCTTCCTGAAGCAAAATCAGATGCACACACGCATTCATCTCACCTCATGTTCAATTCTCACGACACTTGGCACCCACACGCATCCATAATCACATCATATCACTCTCAATCTTCATTCACCAACAGAAGGTCTATTTGAGCAAGAACAGCATATCAACTGTTAAAGATTGTCCCACAAAGTTGCCAATGTTGATTGTTATTTCCTGTTTGTCAATTTTCAAAATCATTAGTTTAATTTGAAGAATTAAAACTTTTAATTGTCAAACTGGTTTCCTCATTGAACTGAAACACAGACACACAGATATTATCGTCAGTTTATCGATGAAAACAACCATTGAGTCTTCTTAACATTATAAAATTTGGTTATTGATTTATTAAAAATTAATATTCCGAATTAATACGTAGCATGGTTCCTCTTTCATTAAAGAGCATAAAACCACAACGCTACAGCTGTAAAATTGTAATAAAAATTACAAAGTGTGTGTAACTCTTCTCCTTTTTTCAGAACAACCTCAGCTTTCAGTGGTTTGTATTTAGAATTTATTTCTATTAAGCCTTTAAAAAATCAGCTTAAAAGTGAAAAAAGCAAAAAACGGATTTGATTTTTTTTTTGCATTTATTACTGAACAGGAACTTCAAAATGACTGGGCGAACAATTTGGAATGAACAACTTAAACTCTGAACTGTAATGCATCTATTCTTAAAAAATTTTGAACCTTGGTATCTATTTTTTGCAGTTTTTAGGACCATTTATTTTTGTAAACTTTCAGATGGTTTTATTTGATGTGGTAGACCTTGAAGCAGTTTCTCTCCAGCTGCAGGCAGAGTCCCACTCTGCACACCTCACACTGCCATGGGGTGCTTCTCTGGCACACGTGCACTGCTATACCAAAAACATTTGTTTTAGCAAATGTAATTATTTATTGTAAAAAGATAAATAATGCTGGAATGAAGCTGAATCTTACAATTAGCAAATAGTTGAGGGTTGTTCAAATAATAAAATTAAAGACTGAACAAACATTCATACCCTGGTTCACTGGAGATCTGTCCTTCTTCTTGGTCACTGTCTTCAGATATAAGCCTTCTGGGACACCTAATAGATCGTGATGATTTTCTTTGAGGCATTTCCATAATTTCATGCTGGCTTTTCATGCTAATTAGCTTCCCCGTTCCGTTATCCGCTTTCACCGCAGCGCAGCGCTCAATCCGGCTGTACAGCAGGATTTCCCCTCGTAGCGATATTTTCCATAACTCTGATTGCTTCATGCTATAGATCGTTGGAAAGCAGCTTTTATGTACTTTTAGGAACCGTTGGAATTATTTGAATCTGATCAGCCATTCAAAAGTTATAAAACGGAGCATTTTGGATGACAAACTCAGCACGTCTCTGAATCTGTGTTGTGATTCGTTGCGCTCAAGACAGGGAATCCCGGTGGCTACCGTAATGTATTGTATATGCACGAAAAGCCCCATTTTTAATCTTTTCAGCACTTTTGGAATTTTAATGATATCTTGAAAGGTTCAGGAATTAAGGTAATGAGAAGCATGTTCAATCCCGTATGCGGCAACAGGTTGGTAATAAGAATATTGTGGCATTAACAGAGGGGTGCTGGCGGTCAGGGCTAGGAGGCCCCCCAACACAAGGGGGCCCCAGGCGGCCGCCTACCTATGCCTAATGGTAAAACCGCCTCTGCTTAACACAGGTCATTAATCATCATCTTTGTAGCAGATCTTCAGTTTCCCTCTGAAGTCCTGACGAAGGCTTTTGGTTCCGATGAGCTGTTTTCACTCTGTTCTCCTCCAGTCCCTTCTTTCCTGCCAGAGGTTGAGTCAGCCTCCTGACCTTTTGCCCAGTTTTGTCCTCGGACAGTGGCGGCTGGCCAGTAGAGGGCGATAGGGCGCCGCCCTCCCAGTTTTTCCGTGTTTTTAATTTTTATTAAAAATAAATAAATAAATAAAATTAACAATAATCACATATTGTAAGTTAATTGTGTGTTTTGTAACAAAAATAAATCATATATATATATATATATATATATATATATATATATATTGGTCTCTGCCGGTCTCTGCCAAGCGGTGGAGGCTGTGTGCTGTTTTTCAATCGCCCAAACAGGACGAGAC